TAATATTTCTCCTAAAAAGCTTACTCTAGTTCAATGGCTCAAAAGTACAACACTTAACACTTACTGTATCACTATTATCACTCTGGGTTTCTGATTTTGAATCACTATCAAGATCATCTTTTTCCAAGGAAGAAATACTGATTTTATCCAATTCAGCTTCTATTTCTTCCTTGAGCTTTGCATCATCATCATCACTGTCTTCCATCACCCTGCATAAAAAAACATAGAACCATTTGAAGAAAACTGAAAAGGCTAACTGTCAGTAAAAACTATAGGTTCTTTAATGTGCCATACCAACCAAACATCTTCTACATAAAATTGTTTTAGTTTAACAAACTTTTATCACACCTTATTATGGTTATATTATATATTAAAGAACATTGATTTCTCCCTATATTCATTCATTATTTCTTTAACGTTTGACTGCAAGATGATCGACTCTAATAATACCCTTTAAATTCTCTAAAGGAAAAGTTACATGGAATGGACTGGTGTACCTTTCTGAAACAAAAAACTTCATAATATAACTCATTTTTCATGGTAATAATTAATGGCAAAATATCTCTGAATAGCTTAAATATGCAGCGATTGAAATACCCATAAGATAACACGCTATGTCTATACAGGGGAAACATCTGGCTAGCTTCTACTCATTAAGACAGAGTTACTCATTTTACAAAATAGCCACATGTTTTTACCAACAATAACGTGTTGTAATAATGGATAATGTATGGCTTATAAGTTCAATACTTATTTCATTTAAATCTTTAATGCTTGTAATGGATATAGATCAAGCAGTGCATTCATTATAGTATGTCTTTACATCATCATTATTAACCACCATCAGTCAAGCTCATTATCCGCCCAGCAATCCCTCTGAATAACCTCTAGTCCAATCATCTTAAAATTGTAGATTTGAACAGTCAGTTCATTCCTATTAAAAAAAGATAATACCTTTGCCTGCCCTTCCTCTAGCTATAGATACCACATATCTTTCTTTCACACATAAATGATTTAATTGGCCTAATTTTCATGTACTTCATAAACTCAGAAAAATGAAATTTTATGTTCATACTTAAACTTGTGCAGAAATGTTCAGAATAGTTTTATGCATGATAGTCCCAAACTGGAAACAGTTAAAAAAAATCCCCCAATAGGCAAATAGTTAAACTAACTCTAGTTACATCCACACCATGGAATAGTACTCAGCAATAAAAGGTAGGAATCATTGCTATAAGCCACAGTACCAATGAATCACCATGAATCGCCAGGGAACTATGCTAAATAAAAAGCCCACACCAAAAAGTAACATACTATATGATTCCATTCATGTGACATTTTTGAAACATCAAAATTTTATAAAAATGAGGACAGATTAGTGATTTCCACTAATGGGGTGGATGGGGTTGGAAGAAGATGGTTATGGTGATAATAGGGCAACATGAGAGATTCTTGTAGTGTTGGAACTGTTCAGTATCTTGATCGTGGTTGTGAGTAAGCATATTCAGATGATAAATACTGTATATAAAGTAATACACCAGCAAATGAGTACAAAAAATTGAAGCAATCTGTATAAGGTCAGAATAAGACTGCACCAATATCAATATCCTGGTCGTGCTGTTACACTATAGTTAACAAAACATTACCATAGAGACAATGGACTGAGTGTATAGGAAATATTTCTGCATTATTTCTTAAAGCTGGACATGAATCTACAATCACCTCGATAAGAATTTAAAGATATTCTCAGTATTCCCTAAGAAAACAGTTAACTACATTATGATGGATCCATAGAATGGAATATTATATAAGACCTTTAAAAAATGGGTATATTTACTGTACTCCTTTGGAAAGGTATCCAAAAAGGCATAACTGAATAAAGGTTAAGTGGCAAGAAAACTACGCAGAGTCACATCTCTTTCGTGTAACTACACACACATACACTTCTTTTAGACACAGAAACTTTTTGGAAGAAATTGGGGAATTTTTAAAATTTTCACTTCATACCTGTATGTTGAGTGATTTTTTAAAAATCATGTACTACTTTTTATAACTTTAAAGGCAATTTTAAAAGATTCCATTTTACTCATAACCTCCCTCTTTTCAAAATAAAATAAAACAAAATAAAACAAACACAGAACCAGTGCAAAATGGTATCCCATAATCAGAGTTTTGCTAGGTGGAAAATTAGATTTTTTTTTAACGTGGCTATAAAGCAGAATACGCAGATACACAAAACTTTCTGCAGAAAGGCAGGCAGGAGAATAGGGTAAAGGAAAGAGACATTCCCATTCTATGTCCCTCTCTGCTCATCTACTGGCTCTTTACCTCAGCCCTGTCCAACTATGCATTTAAGCAACACATGTGATTTTAAATTTTCTAGCAGCAACTTTTTCAAATGTAAAGAGAAACAGGTTAAATTAATTTAATAATTATTCAACCCAATATATCCAAAATATTATTTCAACATATAATCAATAGAAAAATTATTAATTATAAGGCCAAGGTAAAAGTTTAATTTCTTTTTCGTATACTAATTCTTCGAAATCTGACGTGTATTTCACACCTACAGCACGTTTCAACTAGGACTAGCTGCATTAAAGCCCTCAACAGCCACCTGTAGCTAGTGGTTACAGGACAGGGCAGTGCAGGCGTAGACGGGTCCTACAGCAAATGGGCTAGAGTAAACTACTTCAAGTTGACAATGAATCACTTTGAGTTGGCTAAAGGTGCCAAAAGTGGACAATTTTAAGGAACTCCACCCTTTAACTATATAGTTCTTCATGTTCTGAGTAAACTATCGAAATCTCCAAAACTGAAAGGAGCCTCTAGGTCCGCAGACTGGCGCAGCCACCCGCTCGGCGCGCGGTTCCCTCTCTGCCCTAAAGCCCGGCCTCGGCGGAGAGGGGCCCGGCTCCGCCTGCGCCCCCGCAGCTCTGCCTCCCTTCCCGCTACACGAACCCCAGCCTTGAGGGTCCCCGGCTCACCCAGCAGAGGCTAAATCCTCCGGTGGTTGGAAGACAGCGCCCAGAGCCTCCAAACAAAAGAGTAACCACGGCAACCGCCAATCCCAAGGAAGATGGACCGGCCTTTCCTTACCGGTGCCCCAGTAGGACAAACTAACTCTATTCGAAATTGCAACGAATGCTTCATCACAGGAGTTGGGTGAGGAACTTAAAATTTCTTCCAGGTAACTTTAAATATTTAAATAATTTTGGAAAGTAGTTAATAAAGAAATGACATTTTGTTACAATTACCCAAGTAGAGGTAGCCCGACCTTTAAATTGTTTCTGATCTATCTATATTTATTACTTGCACCTAATCAATGTTGATTTGCTCATGTATAAATTGTTTATTCCACCAAATCTTAATCCTGTTCTGAATAGAGACTTCTGGAGCCTGAAATTATGGAAGTCAAGCCAGTAAACTGTTTGCCTTCCATAACAACAGTTGATTTAAAACAAACAAACAAACCCAATCAATTATCACTCAATGCCTGTTCAAAACTTCTAAGTGAGTAAGTGTGGGGGTAAGAAATTTGAAAATTATTTTCTGGAATATGTTTTGCTGTAAAATATTGACGGTGGCACCCTCTGTTTTAATATAAAATTTAAAGTTTAAGTGTATCATGCTTTTTAATTTTAACTTAAAAATTCAACAAAGTTTCTTTTTTGGCGAGCAAATATATAGTGTACAAAATGTGAAATTTCATTTTAGTAACATATTTCTGATTTCAATTTTTTTAAGAGTTTGCAAACGAAGCATTAAATTCCAAGAGGAAGTGGCTAAGCATAACTGTAAAAGATATCTGATATACAATAAAACAAAAGCAAACAGTTCAGTGAGCCTTTGAAAGAAAACAGACTGTATTTCCTGGTAACAGTAAACTTGTATTGCATCAACATAAGAATTAATATAGAATGAGAAATAAGTAGACTTTTGATATTAAAAAATGGTGTCTACTTTAAGAAAGATGATTTTTTAAAATAAAATACTCCTGGTTTCAGATCTAATTACATTTAGGATATTTTCATTATCAAGGTACATGGTCAAGTGCCTTTTTTCTTTTCTTAATTCAGTTTTGTTGATATACATGCTATTCAAACTTTTCATTTAAAACACTCAGGCTACCAGATCATGTTAAAATTCACATGTAAAAATCTTAAGATTAATTTTATTGGTAATTATGAAATTATCCAGGCTTTGCCTAAAGAATATCAAATCCATTAGTAGTTAATCAATTCTTAACAATAATTTGGAAGTTAATTTAGTAATCAACTAATCAGAAATTAGTTGATTACTAAAGATGTCTGAATTGCTTTCCTTCTTAAGGCTCACCTTGTCAAACAAATTGACAACAAAAAAGAAAAATATTGAAAGTTTTTCTGAAGATAAATTAATCCATGGTGCCTGTTATTACACCTCTTATACTTTGACATTATTTTTTACTTCGGGAGAAAAGTGACAACTCTTATCCATTAGTTGTAACGTAGCTATTACTAAATTGGTAAATAAGGAAAAATACAACAATTATCTCAAATCATTATAGATTATGAGTCAATTTAACTTGAAACTATTGTTTAATTCCACAATGTTTAGCAAAAATCTATTTAATTACAATTTTCCTAGAAACTAAAGCCTAAAATGGATTAGGTGACTTAGTCCATAACCCTTTAATCTGAATTTTTTTTTCTTTTTAATAGGTTATTTTCTTTTCATTAAACTTTGTTCTTGTTTTGAAAATCATCCACAAGTCTGGTTGGCTTATAGCCTTTTGGCTTAGCCCAACATATTGCCCTTAGAGAACACATATCCATATTGACTGAGACAATGAAAGGATGAAAGCAAACTGTTTGATTCTCAGATATCTGACAAGAATAAGATTTCTTTGAAAATGTTCATTGAGTGGTGGAATTACTTTAGTTTAATTGCAGTCTTCATTAGCCATCTTATTTTTCATATGGCAGTGATATAATTTAAATATTTGAGTAACATTATAGTTTGCAAATAGCTGCATAGCAGGTGTTTCTTTGCTTCATTTTCTTGAGGGTGATTATTAAGTAATAATATTTTTAATGTGAGCTATCGTGTCAGATTCATAGACTCTGCTTCTCTTTTTCCGTTTAAAGACTATCCAGAAGTCTCAAATTGCCTCTCTAACCCTCCCTGCAGCTGCCGTGACCACTATTTGAGGCCATCACTTTCCACCAGGCCCCATTCCATTTTCCAACCTCATGAACACCACCCTTGTGTAACCTTAGTATTTCTATACTAAGATGTGGTGTAATAAGATTTTAGGTAACATTCAGCCAGGTGCTGGACTAATTGCTTTACAAACATAATCTCATTTAATTTTCACAACATCCCTCTGAGATGCATTGCTGTTCTAATCGATGTTTATAGATGATGATAATGGGGCTTGCAAAGGGTAGCAAGAGAGGTTTGTATCTCTGGGTTTGGATCTCAGCTCTGCCTCATATTAACTAGATGACCTCAAGAAAGTTGTTTTACCTTCCTGAGTCTCTTTCCTCACTGGTAATATTGGGGATACTAGCATAATGGTGCCTAATTTGCAAAATTTTGATGGTCAAGGCAATCAGTATAAATGACATATATAGAATAAGGGATAATTTAAATAGCTTAAGTATTTAAGCTCTATAGACTTGGGTTTGGATTTCATCTTTGCATCTAATATCCCAATGCTGCCAATTCTGCTTCCTGCTATCTCTCTCATATTTCCATCCCCACTGCCATCTTGCCGTTTAGACCACACACATTTCTTATGAACTAGCATATTAGCTTTGTGCAGTATCCCCCATCTTAGGTTTCTTTTCTGTTTTGACTTCTAAGCTGACTACAAAATTATGGCTCCCCATTTTACTTTCAGAAAACATAAAAGCAAATTCTTAGCAGAGCATACATGATCCCTAGCAATCTTTACTGAGTCTGCCTCTCTAGCCTTATCTTTCCTCTCCTGCCATTCTGACCTGTGCCTCCATGCACTTCACTATGAAGCCTGTGAATACGGTGTTCCATCTGTCTTGAAAACTTCCTACTTCTACCCTGTTTTGGTCTAACTGGGAACTTCTTAATTATCCTTCAAGGATTATCTCAAATTCATCTCCTTTCTGAAACTTCCTAGTTCCATTTATTCCCAGTCCTAACATCCCCAACACCTAATTCAGATTTAGCCACAGGTTTTAATATTTGATTCCCTAATAATTTGTCTTGTTTATTCATTTTTTTGTGTGTTCCCATCTTCTGGCACTTAGAAGAAACTTAAAAACAATAACAAAAAGTAATTAGAGTATTATTTAGTGAAAAATGACACCTATGAATAGGTGAATTGTTGCAAACTGTCTTTCCCTATAGCATTTATACTATGAAAAATATCTCTGCTGTTGGACCATTAATTAACTAAACAGGAAATGAACCAAAGAAATACCACACCAGGATATTACTTGATTAAGTTAAAAACAAAGTCTTATGACTCAGCCATAAAAACGAATGAAACAATGCCATTTGCAGCAACATGGATGGACCTAGTGATTATGATACTAAGTGTAGTAAGCCATAAAGAGAAAGAAAAATACCGTATGATATCATTTATATGTAGAATCTTAAAAAAAAAATGACACAAATGAACTTATTTACAAAACAGAAACAGACTCACAGACATAGAAAACAAACGTACAGTTACCGGGGGAAAAGGGGGTGGTAAGGGATAAATTGAGAATTCAGGATTTGCAGATATAAATACTATATATAAAACAGATAAGCAACAAGGTCTTACTGTATCACACAGGGAACTATATTCAATATCTCATAATAGCTTATAATGAAAAATAATATGAAAACTAATAAATACATGTATAACTGAATCACTATACTGTACACTAGAAAGCAACACAGCATTGTAAATCAACTATATTTCAATTAAAAAACATTAAAAACCAAATTCTTTGTCTATAGCAAAATAAAACAAAGTTCTTTCACACTACAAATATTTAAATAGGAACTCGAGTAACTTGTGTATTTTTGTGTTATAACATCTTCAAGTTCATTGACGTTGTTTTGAGTATGCGGGGCTTGTGGCTGAAAGGATCGGCACCTGACCACCTCTTACCATTCTATGCAAACAGGGCTATGGGCTTCCTTGACTCATTGCTAAGACACCTTGTTTGTTGTGTTCTAACTTTACCTTGAACTCTGCTGCGGTCTGAATGTTCCCCACCCTCACTCCCTGCCCCCACCCAATTCACATGTTGAAATCCTCACACCCGGTTGTGATGGTGTTGGAGATGGGACCTTTAGGAGGTGGTTATGTTATGAGGGTGGATCCCTCATGAATGGGATTAGGGCTTTTATGGAAGAGATCCCACAGAGGTCCCTAGCCACTTCGGCCATGTGAGGATCTAAGAAGTCTGAAACCTGGCACCCTGATCTCAGACTTCTAGCCTGCAGAATGGGGAGAAATAAATTTCTGTTGTTTATAGACTACCTTGTCTGTGGCATTTTGTTAACAGCGGCCCGAACTGACTAAATCACTACTGTTTTGAAATTACCACGGGCATCCTCCTTAACCAAGTGGGCTGACTTTGATAGTATGGAATTCTCACCCTTTTTGGCATCTGTCTCATGTAACACTATTTTAGAAATTTCTTCCTCTATCAGTGTCCATGAGATCTTGCTTTGGTTATTTTCTCATTTCGTAAAAGTTGTCTCTAAAAAATAAAGATTTCTAATTATTATCATTCTCTACCATCAAACCTCCACTCATTTTTATCTGTAATGAATCCCTCATCTCTTTCACTTACTCCCATGACATCAGCTCTCTGTGGAAGATTCCCAAGCCTGAGTAACCTGTGGTGTCCACTTACCTGCATGCCATTTCCAATGCTTAACCACAAGGTATTTTTTTATCAATTCAAACCCAATTATTAAACATTAAATTCATGAAATTTATGTAATTTTTTCAAACAATTTCTATTGATTATCATTATTCTTTTATTTTCCCACTGTAAAAAAATCTTTCTGATCATCTTTGCTTCTTTCTCAT